AGTTAGTTTCTTTTCAGTGCACTGGTAGAGCTGTAGTATGAGATGTCCTTGTAGACATTTTAAAATGCCAGGACATTTTGCATACCTTGATTGATGCTCTTTAAACTCTCGTGGGATCCAGTGAATAATCCTTTTGTGTCTCTCGACTTTTTTTTTTTTTGTGATCGAGCACCTGCAAAGGGTTTCCTGACGTACGCTCTGCACCTTCTTCTTGGTGTGTTTTCATTCAGTTTGGGTTTACCACCTCGTTCTTGTCATCACCAGCTCCTGCTGTTGATCTTTGGTCAGGCTGTTGAGCGACATCACTGTGTGTGTTATTAGGCAGCTGGAAAAGGAGATGCTAATGCGCACACGCTGTGGTTTGCTCAACTCGCACAGAAAAATAAATAAATCGAATAAAAACCAGCGTTTTACAAGAGGGACACCTGGCTGTTTTTAGTGCTCAGTAAATTGACCGGCCGGCTCAAACCGCAAACCAGGTCGTCTGAAGCTCAAGCTCTGAATCTTTGTGCTTATTCGAGCCCGTGCCTCAAAATGTCTCTGTTGCAGTTGCTTTAAAACACTCCCAAAATGACTCATTTAGCAGGTTGGTGTAAAAAATAGACCCTCAAACTTATTTTATGTCTTATTTTCTCAGCGTTGACATTTTCCTTTAAGCGGTCAGGAGAGAAATGACTGAGCTGCACATGGAAAGAAAGAAAAAAACCAAAACGCATTGGTAGCCCGAGCGTGGTTTAAGTGGGTCGTCTGCGAGTTTAATAGGCGAGGGGAAACCCTGAGATGGATCCAAGCGTGCAGACTCGAAGTCAGACAGTTGTAGCCGGAGGAAGTCGGTGATGTACTTAACAACTCCCCTCAAAGGCAGGAAGACGAGGTAAAGCTAGACAGATGGGAAGAGGTGGAAAGACGGCGAGAGAGAGAAAGGCAACAGAGGTTGAGGAAGTCAATAATGTACTTAACCTTACTCCACAGACTCCGTGTCCCTGTTATTGTAAGGCAAGTAAAGACGGGAAGGGGGGAGGAAGAGGGGAAGAGTGAAATGGCAGGACTCTGGAGTGGAAATGGTCACAGGCAGCAAAGAAGCGCGGCGTTTTTTTGTTTTTTTTGTTTTCGTCAGCATAAATGTCAGAGTACTTAAGTGTGTGCAGGACAGGCGGGGAGGCCAGGCTACAGGAAGAGCCCCATTTAAGAGGGAATAGCCCAGTTTTACTGGCACATAAATCTCTCCTCCCCACTCTGAAGGTTGTAAGACAGCTCCTCTTTTAGGCTTCCTCCTTCAGTTTGGAAATACGCTAAAACCCCTTTTTTCTGGACTTTATCTTTTCCTTTTTCTTTAGCTCAGTCTCTATCTCCTTCAGACTCTCTTGACCTATACCCTCTTTTTTCCCCTTTGACCCTCAAGCTAACAGCTGGCAATAGATTAACAACATTTTATTGGGCTGTTTGTCCCCACCCCCTTTTTCTCTTCACTATTCTTTCTATTCGCTTCTAGCCAGAGATGGATTTTAAATTAAACTCAGTTTGTGAAAGTAAGCTTTATTTTTAGTCTCTCATTATAGTATACCATCGTTAACATTTATGTGTCTGACTTTGCATTTATTTGTGTGCTGATCTGACAGCATTTTGACTTTCATGCCTGTGGGTTCCTTCTGATCTTTGCCCACATTTTGCAATTAAGAAATGCTCAAATTCAGGGTGGCAAAAGATGCCGAAGCTTAAGTGATTTTTGACACGACACAGACTGTCAATCTCTTTGCTTGAGTGAAGAATGCAATTTCCTCTAGAGCGTTCACAAATATTATAAACACATAGTTTATTTCATTACGAAAAGAGGGTCTCCAGATATTTTTAAATGGAGTGTTTATTGAACCTTTTGACTAAAATAAAAAAAGTAATTTGTTGAATATGTTATTTTTTAATTTGTTTTCAATCTTTTTTTGCATAAAATGTGCCATTTATTTAGCTCCTTTTACATCTCATGGTGTAGAAGTCGCAAAACCTCATGTATCAAATATACATTTGGCTTCAAAGGGATACGTTTATTTACAAAGTTGCTTAACGGCTTTTGGGGAAACTTTTGTTGGCTAATCAAAACCAATTTTTGGCTAAATATTTGAAATCGACAAAAAAGTTATTTAACAGTATTTTGAATTTGAATTGAAATAAATATTTCAATTTCAATATTAGAATTATTAATAAAGCCTGAGGGGGCTTTATTATGTATGTATATTACAGCAAGGCAGATGCTTGCTGTAATATACATAAGAAGCTAAATTACATAATTGGAAGGCTACTGTGGATATGGGTACCCGGTGGCTTTTAAATTTGCACTGCGTGTATCTGTTCTAATTAAAAAATAAAACCAGCTTGAAATGGTTACATCTGAAATTAACGGTTGTTAGATAATAAAGTTGAGTATCTCCCTGATACACTAAATGCATCTGCTGTGTTATGTACAGTAAGCTGATCTCTTGGCAGGGGCCCATTCATGTTGAGCGATATCCTTTATGACTCAAGTGTTTTGCAGTCTTTTTGCGGAGGAGGCAAACTTTCTGTATTCTTGGTTCTCATAAGATGAAGGAGTCCTTTGGAGTTTTCTCGCTTATATCGAGTGTTTGCAGTCTTTTACGTCATATAAGCACATCGAAGGCGTTTCCGATCTTCAAAAAACAACACAAAGCGGAGAATTTCTATAGAAATATGCTTTTACTTCCAGTCTGTTTACGTTACCTTGCTCCCTTTAGTTTCTGTTTGTTGGTCTTTTAGACCTAAAGACCACCGCATGATTTTTTTGTTAACCTCCCGCCGCTACTTGTTGAGCGGTAGTGAAGCTGTGAAAATTAGAAACACTTTCATTGTACAAGTTGTTCCTTAGTATTGCAAACATGTTTCGAAAGCTTTACTTTGAAGGCAGATGTTTCTGTCGCACTTTTCACATTTTGATTACTGTTGATGACTGTTTGCAGGCAAATCACTGCCTCATATACAAACATCTGCAAAGCAGTAGCGAGGAGGTTTCGGTAGAGCACCGTATACCTCTTTGTCAACTCTTCTTCTTTTTCCTTCAACTTCATCTTCTTCTGATTTCCCCCTGGCATCCTCTTCTGTCTCAACCACCCTCTGCACATCCTTCTTCACTATATCCGTGAACCTCTGCTGTGAACTTCCTTTTTTCCTCCCGCCTGACAACTCAAAATTGAATATCCTTTGTTGAATATATCCACTACACCTCCTCTGTGCACATCCAAGCCA